CATACAATTGCAACCCCCTTATTTTGACCCCAATCCCTCCTTTCCCCACCCCCCACACCCCATAGAGTGTCTGTGGTTCATAGTTGTTTGTTGATTTTGATATTTTCTTTTTATAGTTATTCATTTTCCTGGTCCCTTATTTAAGTTTTCTAGATTCCTGCTATGAGTGAGACCATCCAGTATTTTTCTTTTTCTTTCTGGCTTATTTCGCTGAGCATGATCCCTTCCAGCTCCATCCACGTTGCTGCAAATTGCATGTGTTTATCTTTTTTGAAAGCTGAGTAATATTCCATGGTGTATACGTACCACATCTTCTTGATCCAGTCATCATCATTACTTATTTTTAACAAAATCCAAACCAAAATGAGGGCCTCCTGGTGGCCTAGAGGTTCTGTCTCAGTGTTATCACTGCTGCAGCCTGAGTTCGATCCTAGACCAGGGAGGTAACCCACATATGGTGCAGCAGACCACTTCTGTTTCACCCACTGCTCCCCTCAGGAGTGTATTTCAATAAATTCACCTGCTCTGCTCCCCACTCTATCTCTGGTAAATCCTCTTCCAACCCTCCCGCCCCACACCTCTGGACTACACTCCAGTTCTTCTATGCCAAAACAAACAAACAAAACCACATATGTCTGATGAGCATAGATGCAAAAATCGTCAACAAAAATCTTTAAAAAAAGGGCCTCCCCAGTGGCGCAGTGGTTGAGCGCTGGGTTGAGAAGCTGCCCACGGCCTCTGCAGCACAGGTTCGATCCCCGGCCACCGGGCGAGGGTCCCACATGGAGCGCAGACCTCTCCTGCCGCCCGCTGCTCCCCTCAGCAGTGTACTTAGTCACTCTGCCTGTACTACTCTCTGCTCTGGCTCTGGTGAATTCTCTCACCCTCCCGCGCCTCTGACTGTACCCAGTGCTTGTATAAATAAATAAATAAATCTTAAAAAAAAAAAAAAAAAAAAAAAGGCAAAGTAACCTAAAAAGACATTTAAAAAAAAATCTTAAAAAAAAAACAAAACTCAAAACCACAATGAGATATCATGTCACACTTGTGACAATAGCCCACATTTTAAAAAAAAAAACCTAAAAGCAAAAACAAAACCAGAAACAAGTGTTGACAAGGCTGTGGAGAGAAATGAAATGAACCCTCACACATTGTTGGTGGGTATGTAAATTGGTGCAGCATTTCAGGAAACAGTATGGATTTTCCTCAAAAAAACTAAAAATAGAGCTACCATATGATCCAACAATCCCATTTCTGGAGATCTATCCAGAGAATATGAAATTGTAAACTTGTGGAGTTATATGTGCCACAATTTTTATCACAGCAGTATTTACACTAAGACATGGAAACAACCTAAATGCTCAACAATAGATAACTGGATAAAGATGTGGTGTATCTATACACAATGGAATACTATTCAACAATGAAAAAGATGGAATTTTGCCATTCACTTGTACCCTGGTTTCTCAGTTCAGATAGTATTGCTGGTAGCACATGTTGATCAAGTAATCTCTCTCTCTCTCTGTTCTCCCTCTTCTCATTCCCCTTGAAAATAAATCTTTTTTTTTTCCTAAAAGGAAATTTTGCCAATTGCAGCAAAGTGGAAGGAACTCAAGGGGAATACGTGAAGCAAAATAAGTCAAAAGGAGAAAAACAAATATTGGATGATTACACCTATATATGCAACAGAAGGAAACAAAACAGAAGAATGAACAAAATAAAATACAAATAAACAGTGGACATGGACGACAGAACTGAAGTTACCAGAGAGGAAGAGGGTAGAGGGTGGTTTACCTGGGGATTTGAAGTGAGGATAGAGAAAGGGAAGTAGGAACCAGTAGTTGGTAGAGTAGTAACATGTTACTGTCTAAAAAGACCTGAGGCTACCTTGGGTCCCACCTGTTCAGAGATCTAGCAGCTCATTCATCCCTGGGATGTTTCAAGGGTGGTTTCCTAGCTAGTGTGCAATGGCAGAAGTCTTCCAGTTGTTTACATGCTGAAACTCTGCTGGGCTCCATGAAGCAAAGCCATTTACCTAAGATGTCTACAATGCACTATAGCTTATGTTTTCCTGCCACCCCAGATGCTCCACGCTGTCTCCATGATCCAGAAACTAAAAGGTTAACACCCAGCCCCAGCAAATGACTTTCACCTTCGCACTAATTCTAAGGCCAGTTAAGGTTTGGTCATGCAATACCTTGTTTTGAGGCCCTTCTATAATCTTCCCTTTTAGTTTGAGTAAGGCAGGGTCAGTGCTCAACACAACCCATCCTAATACAAGAGATGTTTTCCCAAGTTGAATGCTTCCCAAGGAGGCAACATCCTTGGAAGGAGGAGTTTTAGGAGATGGCAAAGCAGACATGGGGCAAACAAGCCAAATGACAGGTGCTACGGCCTGAAGGGGTGAATAGCCAGTAGGAAGTGGGTATGGTAAGGGCAAAGAATGGCAGTGGGAAGGCCGGCCACAAAGGCTTGAGACTGGAGGAGGAAAGCTAGGGTCTGCAAGGCTGGACTGGACCAGGGTGTCTTCCAATTCTTGGGGCGCTAGGACATGCATCCATTTTTTAAAAATCAGAATTCAAATCAGTTTCCTCTAAATTAACATGCTAGTTCTTCTTCACACACTTTTTTTTTTTTTTTTTGAGGTAACACTGTTTTACAACACTGTATAAGATTTAGAAGTGCAGCATCACACCATTCAGGTGTATGTTACCACACCATACACATCACCAAGGCACCCACCCAGAGTCCTCCACTGTTGTCCACTGTCCCCTCCTCCTCTGGCAGCCTAAATTCTGCAGTCATATTTCTAGGGTTTGTTATTGGTTTGGTTTTATCTGCATCTTTGTTCTGCTTCTTTGTATTCTACATATAAGTGACATCATCTAGTATTTGTTTTTCTTTCTGACTTATGTCAGTTAATATAATCCCCTCTAATTCCATCTATATTATAGCAAATGGCAAGAGTATATAATTTTTATAATTGAGTAGTATTCCATTGTGTGTGTACCACATCTTCCTAATTCATCGATCTGTCTCTGGGCACTTAGGTTGGTTCCATATCCTAACTATTGTAAATAATGCTCCAATAAACACAGGCTTGTAAATATCCCTTTGAATTAGTGTTTTTTTAATTCTTTGATAAATACCTAGGAGTTTGGTTGTTGGGTTATATGGCTGATCTGTTTTTAATATTTTGAGAAATCCCCATATAATCTTCCATGGGGGCTGGACCAGTCTATACTACCACCAATGGTGTATGAGGGTTCCTTTTTCTCCACATCCTTGCCAATACTTGTTACTTCTGGTCTTTTTGATATGGACCATTCTCTCAGGTGTGAAATGGCATCTCATTGTGGCTTTGATATGCATTTCCCTGATGATAAGTGATGATAACCAATTCTTCTTGTGCCTATTAGCATCTGTTTGCCTTTTTTGGCAAAGTGCCTATTTAGCTATTCTGCCCATTTTGGATCGGGTTATTTGTTTTCTTTTTGTTTATTTGTATGAGTTCTTTGTAGATCTTAACTATCAGCCCCTTGTAAGGAATGATGTGCAAATATTTTCTCCCATTAAATAGGGTATCTTTCTAGTGTTAGTTTCTTTTACAGTGCAGAAGCTTTTGCATTTGATGTAATCTCAATTGTTTTTATTCCCTTCCTTTTGCTGTTGGAGACAAATCAACAAAGATACCACTAAAGCCCATGTTGTGGAGTGTTCTGCCTGTTTTCTTCATGTATGTATGGTTTTAGGTCTTATATCCATTTAAGTCTTTATCCATTTTGAATTGATTTTTGTGTATGGTTTGAGACAGTGGTCCAGGTTCATTTTTTTTTACATGTGAGTGTCCAGTTTTCCCAACACCATTTATTGAAGAGACTTTCCTTCCTCTTCCCGTCTCCTTTCCCCTTCTGTCTCCTCCTTGCTCCACTGTCATAGTGCACTCATGTTTGATGAGCACAGGAAAGGAGACAAAAACATTGAGACTGGGAGCTTTGGGACATCCAGCAGAAAAGTAAAAATATATGAAAGTGGATAGTCACACAGTATCTCATGATGCTTTTACAGAAAAAGGTTCAGTTAATCTTCCCATTGATACCAAACAATAAGAAGGCTTGAGATGCAAAAAGTTAATCTGAACTCCTGGGCTTCCATCACAGTACACATTCAAAGAACAGTCCTGGCTGCAGGGAGACAATCCACAGTTCCACAATCCTAGCCCTGCCTGGGCAAACTGGCACCAAGAAGCATTCCATCAACATAACGTCTTCCCCACTGGGCACTTCTGTCCTCATTCAGAAACTGCTAGGGAGGTTATGTGCCCCTAGACACACTGGCTGAGGCCTGGTCTGGCATTTTATTGCTAACTGTTCCTCTAATTTTAGGGCCATGCCATTTCCATATGCACAGTTTCTACTCTCTGTTCAACTATTTTTCATTCTTAGGGTTTTCAATCAGAACAGGCTGCCTCCACTCCCGTGAAAAATTAAAAGGCTAGGTAATATTTTGCGTTTATATAGCTCTGCAATTTATAGTGTATATTACTCTTCATCATCTCCTTTATTCTCACTCCAACGCTGTTTTGTCAGCAGCATCATTTTCATTTTAGAGCTGGGAGGCTGAGGCTCAGAGACTTTAGGACTTACCTGCTTCCAGAATGGAGCAGCTAAGCCAGGTCTGAGGTCTTCTAGCCAGTGCTCACAATACTGTGTCCCAGCTGCTTCTCAAACTGAAGAATAGCAGGGCAGGAGAGCAGGCATCAGACTGGCTTAGCCTTAAATTTCACTACATCTGCTGTGTGGCCTTACATAGGTGTGTTCACCTTCCTGGGCCTTCTTAACTGCACATGGCACTAACATGGAGGACTGTTCTGAAGATAAGCCTCCTGTACTTGCTCAATAAATCTGGGTCACACCCCATCGTGCAATTCTGCTGTCAGCACTTTGACGGGGACACAGACGAGAGTCTTGAAAACAACTTTGAGAAAAAGTGCAATTTACCTGTTTGCCACCAGAGTGCAGTCAATTTCTGGTCTCTTGGTTTTGGGAATGACATACAGTGGATACCTGTCCCCGTGTCGAACAAACACATGGACTGAGACCAGCTTAAAATGATGTGGGGCATGACCTGTGGGAAAGAGGCACATCCGGTTATCAGGTAGCAACGTCATTCCCGTTCACTCTGCAAAGGCGGGGTGGGGTGAGCATGATGGAGGGGTGAGTAGGAAGGAGGGCCTCTGCATAGCCTCACAAGGTAGGGCTGGTACATCCCAGGCCCCCAGAAGTCACCAGGAGACTCGGGGCAGGGTGGGGGTGGATGGTGGTTGGGGGCTGGACGCCAATGAAAGTAGGAAATGACAACAATGGGGAGGGTTGGGGAGGGGGCACACAGAAATACTGGCAACAATGACTTTGCGGCTTTGCTTAAAGCTCTCATGAAGCAAAGCAGGGCACAAATAGATATTTCACCATCATTCTTTCATACACTTTCAAAAAAAGCAAAGCTCAAAGTAGTAATGTTTTCCCATACTGTCAGAGCAACCTATGGATGTCCCAAGGCCTTGGGGAGAGCCTGCCTTGAAAGGGGGTAGCTGAGGGTGATGCTCTTGAGCCCACCCAGGCCGCCCTTCCATCTCGCTACTGACTCAGTAAAAGCCATGATAATGACAAATGTTTGTGGAACCACATGCTGAAGCACGTGCTATTCAAAGGGGTCACTTAATGCTCCCTGAGAGCAGCTACTGAAGTTACTCCCATTTGACAGATGACGAAGCTGAGACCCAGGGACTCACTCAAGGGCACAGCCTGTGGCGGCTGCAGGATCTAGCTCCTCACCACTGCATTGTGTTGCTCAAAGAACTAGTCCCCAAAGAGGTGTCTGTCCGAGTCCTGAGCCAGGCAGCGGGCCAGGCCTACCTTCCATGCTCCTCTCAGCCACACTCGGAATGTTGCAATACAGGAGAGCTTCGTAAATGGGATCCATCACAGGGGGCTCCGTGACTGGGTCGGGCATGATCCTCTTTCGACTCTTGCTACTCACACCATTCTTAGCAGCCGATACAGGGATCAGGTGGACTGTAAGGAAGCAAAGCAGGTCACTAGAAGCATCACTGTAGCTTCACTGAAGTTACTTAATATTTTCTACCTCAGAATTAGGGTGCACGCCAACAGAGCAAAAGGTCAGGTCTCATTCACAAACCATTCCATAAGCCCCACTATGCCCTGTCTCTTTCTACACTGCCTTCTCCTCACCAGTGATTATGAAGCCACAGTGGTGGGCCATTCCTGAGAAAGGCCTTCACTCATGGAGGTACAGGAAGAATGGACACACCAAATTTATGAAATCTTATTACTTTGCTCTGAATGAATGCCCTTTTTATTCTGTAAATTGTAAGGAGGGAAACCATCACCTACTGGATACCTACAAAGTGTATCTGATGTATCTATTTAGTAGCATCTGCTTTGTGCCTTGTGGGGCCCAGAGCCTGAGCATAGGCACCTGCTCATTAATTCTTACAAGAGCACTTTGCAGAGAAGAGAACCAAGGATCCGGGGGGAGGAGGAGGCACTAAGGCATATTTGGTGGACAGAAACCCACCTCCAGCTCACTCTTCTACCTCCAGGCCAGGTCCATACCTCACCCCCCAGGATTCCCCCTCCACCCCTTTCTTTAGATACCACACACAGTCCAGCAGTGTTATGTCTATCCATGTACTGTCCTGTCCCCTTTTCTTTTGGTGACGCACTCCTTCCCCTCCCCTTGTGGTTCTGGATGAACTGTCAGTCTCAGTGCCCCTGCCTGCTGGATAGGGTGGACATGTGCCAGGAGGTGGTGAGGGTAGTGACCCGGCAACTAGACTCCCTTTCCTTGAGGGAGGTGATATACAGACTTTAGCAGAGAGCTACTTTTGCTTCTGGCTGCTGATGTCTAAGAATGAAGACTTGGGGCTGCCCCAGGCATCTAGTGCTTCCATGGACAGCCTCTGTCTGCAGTGGAAGAGAATGATGCTAAGTAAAGACAAGCCAGACCAACAAATAAAAGGAACCAACCAGAGAGACAGAGAGATACCTGAGGACATCCATCCTTTAAGTCAAAGTCAGAACCTCTCTTAGATGTCCCAGTTACATAAGCGGAGAAAGTCCTCTTTGCTTAAGCTAGTTTGAGTTGGGTTTCAGTTACTTTCAACCAATTGTGTCCTGATTAATACAGTTTATCAATTATTTATTAGCAAATGTAAGTGTATCATCTGGGTCAGTGGTCCCTCATCTCTCCATGCTCTTTGTAGCACCAGAATTTCTGAAGCTTCCTACGCAAAAATAGTTTCATGTTTTGCATCCACCAACTGAGGAAAAAACTGTGCCCGTGAATTATTTATATTTGGAAAGTTTTACTAATGACCATAATGTATACAAATATTTGAACAGTAATAAAACAAGGCCCAGTCATCAGTCTAAATCCAATTACATTGCATAATTTCTTCTACAAATTCTTCTAAATATATATTCAAAACTTCCCTTTAGCAAATACATGTTATACACAAAGGTAAAAGGCAAGCAATCCGCTGAGAGGGAAATGTGTGCAACATACCTGACAAATTATTAATATCCAAAGTGCCTATGAGCTCCTGTAACTAAAAAATCAGAATGGGATGTGAGCAGGCTAATTAGAGAAAAATAAATACCAATGGCCAATAGACACATGAAAAGATGCCAATGTTATTCACATTTAGAGAAACACAAAACAAAACAATAACAGGACATGAGTCCCCACAGATGAGAAAAAGCATGTTTTAATCTCATTTCCAGGAGGTTGTGAAACCATGTGACACCAACTCACTCCATACCTGCCGGCGACAGTGGAGACAGGAGCCATCTCTCAGGGGTTCGGCAGTAGCCACTGAAATGTTCTGTGTTTTATCCCCGGTCCCATTATTCTAAACTTTGGACTCTATGCTAAAGATGTCAATTCCCACTACTAAAAGGTCTGACCAAAGCAATTCACTGCAATGCTGTTTGTAACAATAAAAAGGGAAAGAACCCAAATCTCCATCATTAGCAGAATAGAATGTTGCAACCACGGTGTGGAATATTCTGCTACAGTTAAAAAGACTGGAAGAGAATCAGAGAGAAATGAAAGTCACTGGATATTTATATAATCCTCTGTGGAAATAACAAACTATAAATGTCTGACTTTGTAGACACTGTTTATTATGTAATACACAAAAGTAAATGCAAAGAAAAATGTCGACAAGCACACCCATCACAATAGACAAAGGTTTCCTCTGGGGAAAAGTGGAATGGGTGTGAACACGTACTTTTATTCATTTCTCCATAAATGTCTGTACTGGTTTATATACCCATATGTAGATACATTTACAGTAAGCATAAAGAACATATTATGTGTGTTTAAAAATATATGTGTATCTATATACTGCCCAGATCCACTTATTTTTATACAATAAGCATATTTTCATTCATTACTTACGCTACTTGTGTTAGCAAGACAATTACAGAGCTCCAGAGCCGCTCCTTCACCAACTCAAAACTGACCCTTCATTTGGTCCTAAAGTCTCTTCTATCCCAGAAGCTGGAAGGGGTGAGAAATGCCAACACACGGTTGAGGTGTCCAGAATTAATTTACTAGATGGGGATCTGTGCCAGGGCAAGGGAATGAGAAAAATAGATGTCCTAAAGCAGTGTCCTAATGACCCAGTCTGGCTGGCTGTGGGGCACCCCTCAGTCTTTGACTTTTATGAAATGGTAAATCCTGGCCTTTGGCTGTGCTCACGGGCAGACTCCCTTTGAGTCTGAGCTAGGCAGAGGTGAAAGTAAGGAGACATGATAACATGAGTGACACAGGAATGGAGAGGCATGGGCCCTGGGTGTCCCAAGGTACCCATGGTTTGCTGATTAATCTGTAAACATACAGGGTCAGGCTCCTTGGGCTACCATGTGGGAATGGCTATAAGCTGAACATTTGCCTCTCCTGAAAATTCCAAATTTATGTTGAAATCTTAAACTCCTGGATAATGATATTAGGCGATGGGGGCCTTTGGGAGGTGACTATATCATGAGGGTGGGGCTCTCATGAATGTGATTTATGCCCTTAAAAATGAGATCCAAGAAAGCTCCCCCTTTCTTCTGCCATGTAAGGTTACAGCAAAATGATGTCATGTTTTGACACTGGACATCTTGGGTTCCAGAACTGAGAAAAAGAAATTCCTGCTGTTTATAAACCACCCATTATGGTATTTTTGTTAAAAAGCCCGTGGGAAACATGGTAGTTGAGCCCATATGACCCATCCATGACCCAAGGAAGCAGTGGTTTGAAAGCCACAGATAAAGACTAGATGATAATCTGAGTGAGAACATCCATCCACAAAGATTTTTATCTTCTGTTTCCTTTGGCCTTGGGGCCTTACTGTCTTACCCACCAGCTGTTGAGATTACCCTATGCTCATCGAACCTTCCTAAGCCACCAGGACACAGGGTCAGTTCATATGGGGTCTCTGGAGGAATCCTCCAGACATTATACATTCAGGAGAGGTTCTGATGTATGGAGGTCATGGGGTGAGAAGTCTCCATCTTCCTGCACCCCTCCCCTAACTTGGATCTCATTGTTCTGAACTGCTCAGAGACCCCTACTCCTCACTCCCACAGGTTGTTTCTCACCCATGCTTCTCTTTTTGATTGCAACTTATCTTCGTCCCACCTCTGTTCCCCAATCTAGCCAACTCCATAACTGATCCCAGTAGCCATGTTTTTCAGGAAGTCTACCCTGACTGCTCAATTTCAATACTCCTCTTCCATGAGCCCTATAGGTTCTCAATGTCTTTATTGTTCACACCATAGTACACATAAGCTGGGGTATTCACAGGTTGTCAACTTTCCATCCCAAATGTCCAGAGGGTGAGGACACTGTCTTTTTCATGTTTATATTACTCTACTGACAAGCTTAGGGCAGATCCTCCAAAAAATACTTGCTAAACTGAAGGTCTGCTCTAAGGCAGGCTCTGTGCTCCATTCTTTTGGAGAAATACATCACTGAGTCCTCACATGGGAGCAATGAAATAAAGGGGTTGCCTGACCAGCCTGGGGGTGGGGGGAATTGTCTAAGCAGGTTTCCTGAAGTGACACTCAAATCTGGGTCCAAAGGGCTTAAGTGAAGCTGGCTATGTGGAGCAGGCCAGATGAGGGACAGTTGTTTATGGACAAGAAGCAGTAAGTTGGCTGAAGATGCCCTTTTGAGGCCTGGCCCAGAAGGCTCCAGCAGGGATGACATGCAGGGAGCACTGAGAGAGCTTAGCTGCAAAGGAGGGGAGGCTGCTTCTGGTCGGGCTTGCCACATCAGCTATCCCAGATTACCTTGTTTATCTGGACAAAGAAGGAAGAGGGCAAACTTGGGGGCTATGGAACAGACTCTGAGGCCTGGGGGTTCAGGGCACGGCTTCTCCTGGCAGGGTTTGCCCAGGTTTGGTTCCTCCAGCTGCCCCATGGAACAACTGGGAACTCTGCTAACCCCAAGCAGTTGACAGCAGCTCAGATGTCATCAGGTAAATAAAAATAACTGGGGGATGATCAGAAGGGAGAGTGGGCATTCAGATAGATGAAAGGATAGTGGATTTCTCTGTGTAGGTATAAAAATCCCCACAAATGTAAATGAGTGCCATTGTACTACCATGGCCAACGTGAATGACAGAATAAGAGACATCTTTTACTTGGTACAAAGGCACACAAAAATTTGTCCAAGGTGTGATTTCCAAGTAGTTTCTAAAAGCCACTTATGGAAATAAGTCTTTCATTTATGGTTGTTTTACCTGCTCATCTAGTCTACAAACAGCTTCGTCCTGTTGACACATCTATAACCTTCTGGTATTAAGATACAATGGGGACATTGGAGAGAACATTACCTCTAAAGAAGTCCCTTGGGTCCCTTCACTCTTAAAAGCAGCAAGTAAAACAACCAGGTATTGTTTCGTGTGGGTTCCCATTCCAACTCCTTTCCCCCCCTCCTCTCCTTCCTCCTTGCGCAGATTCATGTGCATTATTAGCAAGCATTCCTGCAGCTATGACTC